AAACTGTGGTCTCCAGGAATGGGGCTTAGACACCTGTATTTTGCAAAAGCTCTTTGGGTGATTATTACATACTCGTACATTGTTGTTGTTGTTGTTAAGTGCCATCGAGCTGGTTCCAACTCATAGCTACCCTGCATAGGGTTTCCAAGGAGCAGCTAGTGAGTTTGAACCACTGATCTTGCAGTTCAAACTGACCTTGTGGTCCAGCACATTATCCTGTAGCACAAGGAATCACAACTCTAGAGAGGTTCTCGAAGTTTAACAAGCATTAAAATCTCATTGAGTGGTAATGAAAGTACAGAGTGTCAGATTCTCCCTAGAGTTTTTAATTCATTGTTGTTAAATGTCGCCAAATCAGTTCTGACTCACAGTGATCTTTGTATAGGGTTTCTGAGGAGCGGCTGGCGGGTTTGAACCACCGATCTTTCAGTTCGCCACTGGGTGCTTATCTTACAGTGCCACATCATTAAGGCCTGAGAATTTGCATTTTAACAAACTTCCAGGTGATACTGATGATCTGAGAAGCCCTGTTCTAACAGAAGTCAACTGGGTTGACTTTAGATGTAGAGAGATTTTGACAAAATATAAAGGAAACATTATTTTAAAATGTCATTCATGAACAGAATGGACTGACTGGCACACACTCAATGCAAGGCACCGGGAAGTGGGGCAGCAGGTGAGCGGATGTCTCTCCAGCTGGCAAAACCGCAACTTGGCTGGAAGCATGCAAAGCAAGAGTGTTGGTTCTGTTTTTAATGTGTTTTTTTCTCTCTCTTCCCTCAAACCAAAACAGAAGTTTAATTTCAAACTCAGTTCTAAGCTTAAAAGTAATGCCTTTGAAAACAGACTGAATTTGCCATATACAATATCTGCACGTCAATGGGCAGTTTTGCAAGCACCAATGGAGAAGTAATGGATTGACTGAAAAAACTCTTCATGTGTTATATTTAAGTTTGCTGGGGAGAAGCATAAGTCTGTCCCCGCAAGAGAAAAACAATAGATTCAACGTGCGAACAATGTATAACTGCTTAAGTCTACAAAAGAATACTCCCCTCCCTTCCCCGCCAAAAATAACAAGCAAAACAAACAATTTATCCAGGCTCCTTGGCCTGCTTATTTAAAATATTTCAATCCACATTTTTATCCCCAAATTTCAGTTTTCATTCACTTATATTTTAACCAATTTTGGAGACAGAAAAAGGTGAGGTAAAAACATTGACAGGAAGAAAATTACACCCTTAGTTCCTTGACATACTTATTATGTATTTTACCATGATTCGTCAATTGTATTTTTAAAACATAAAAAACCAATATTGTGGATTAATAAAAGTTCTACTATATAGAATTCAACTGTGTACTGTAGAAACTAAATTGAACACAGGTTGCTCTTAAATATGAATTATCTTAATAGCTTAAATATGAAACATCAAATTTAATTGTTGACTGGCCAGCAAAAACTTTATCCAAATCTTTTATTTTCTGGACCAAGACACAGACACACACAGTAAGGTCAATAATTGGACATTTTCTGAGCTATTCAATTTTCAATGAACTGTTTCAAACCCTCCAAAATACCCTGTAAGATTAAAAAACGACATCCTCCCAATGTACTTTCTTTCAACTCAATATACAAGCCTTCGCAAAGTAATACCACATTGGATTACTTACGTCACATTCATGAAATGCTTTTTAACCCATGTCTGTAGTTTTACTATCCAAATATGAGCCCAACCTTACATAGTTTCTACATTACTAAACAATTTCATCTTCTCCATAACATAATTGGAGGTGCTTTCTAACGTGACTTTACATTAACTATTTATGTGGAAGATGTTTTGGTAATGTTAACTGTAACTGGCATTTCCTCATTAAGCAAATATTCTCAGCATCTCAACATCCATTCATTTGAGCCTTAGAATTCTTTTTAGAAGTCATCTGACATAAACTGACTAATAAAAGTTGACACAGCTTCTACAAATCTCACAGTATTACAATAATTTAAGACACTAAGACATGGCACCTTAAAAGCATCAACGTACTTTGGAAGGCCAGTCCCTGGAGAAAGACATCAACGCCTGGTAGAGGGTCAACAAAAAAGAGGAAGACCTTCAATGAGATGGACTGACACGGTGGCTGCAATAATGGCCTCAAATCTACCAATCAATGACTATGATATGAGGAGGATACAGAGCCAGGCAGTACTTTTTCTGTTTTGCACAGGGGTGCTATGAGTCAGAACCAACTTGATGGCACCCTAACAACAAGGTAGGGCACGAAGTTAGAAAGAATCAACACCTCACCCAAAAAACCCCTTTAATAAATTTGGTCTGAATTTTCTGAGGACTCACCTGAGAATTTGAGCACACTCCAAAGTAAACATGAATACTGATCATCGTGGACAAAAAGCCTCCTAGTAATTCCCTGAACAAGCACAGCTTTGTCATAGGTCTTCTGGCCTGAGGGACCATGCTCAGGCAATATTTTGGATCTGTTTGAACTGCAAGGTCAGCGGTTCAAGCTCACCAGCTGCTCTTTGGAAACCCTATACAGGGTAGCTATGGGTCAGAACTGAGTTGATGGCACTTAACAACAACAACAGTCTCTTAAAGGGGAGTCCTGGTGAGGTGTTGAAGGATAACACTTGACCCCAACGCTGGTTTGAACCACAAGGTTGGTAGTTCAAACTTAGCAGTCACTCCTTGGAAATCATATACAGGGTCGCTATGAGTCAGAACCAACTCAACAGCACTTAACAACAATAACAAATTTATTTAAGTATAAGATGACCTCAAGAGATAATTTCTGTTTAAGGTTTAAAGAGTATCTAGTGTGATAGTCTAGGGGATTCCTCTGGTCTCAAATGGTCTAGTAAACTCTGAATTTTTTAAGAGTTTGAATTCCGTTCTACATTTTCCCCCATTCTGTCAGGATCCATCTATTGTGACCCTAATCAGAATAACTGCTGGTGGTAGCCAACAACAATGGTTAGATGAGGTCATGGTGCAACAAGAAGTCTCTGAGAAGCAGCTGGGAGATGACATTCCCCCCTTGCAATTTCCCCTTAAAGGTTTACTTCCTGGTCAGGTGTTCTTAGAGCATTTTCAGTGGGGAAAGTTCCTGAGTACAATTCTGGGTTAGATCATCTCTCTATTTACTCAGCACCTGATTAGAGTGCTCTAGTCACAATTGTTGTTGTTGTTAAGTGTCGTTGAGTCGGCTCCAATAGGCACTTAATATTTCCTCAGCAAACAGGCATGGAGAAGACTGAGACTGGTTTTCTGGGATTGGCTATAAAGCTAAAAATGAAACTTATTTTATATGGGCTCTTCAGCTGTATGAGCGATGTTCTTGTTGTTGTTATTAAGTGCCATTGAGTCGGTTCCGACCCACAGTGACCCTAATATAGGGTTTCCGAGAAGGAACTGGCAAGGTTGAACTGTCAACCTTACAATTCAAATGGCTTTGTAGTTTGGCACATTAGCCCACAGCACCACACCAGGACTCCGACATGAGCCATAAATCCCCCTTTACTCCGTTTCTACCTCAAGTCCCACTTCCTCCAACCATCCTTGACAACTTGTAACCATGGGCCTTCCTCTCTAAAATCCAACAGGACTTGGCACATAGGCATTTCCATCTTGAGGGGTCATAATCACCTATACTAATCTTGAATTTCTATTTAGTGTTCCTCAAGTCTGTGAGTACTCTGAATATATGGATGTTTAATTGCTGCTTCACAGCTCCACAGTCTAGAGTGTTATGCCCAATTTTGAAAGAAAGCCAACACACACACACGACTGTTTTTAAAATTAAAATAGATACACTTACAAAATGGATATGACTTATTCATAAGAGAAAGATTTGGTAAGAAAGAAAAAGAGAGACAGAGGTTATATGACCTAGCTGGACAGAACTTTTACATCTTAAAAGTGATTTCTTTCTTCAGCTTCTGGGGGTCATAAGGAATAGTCTGCTGGTCTACAGAGTTAGAAAACATTGCAGCAAGTTTAGTTACTGCTCCTTCACTTTCTCTGCCTCACTCCAGCAGGAAACCAGTTTTGAAGGATGGTGATTTGATAAGGATGAAAATGAATTCTTATTGTGCACATGCAATGAACTTCTGGGTTCTATTGTACGCATTTAATAGTCATCCATGCTTTTACGCCTCACAACACTTTTGTGAAGTAAACACTCCTTGTCCCTTCATTTTAAAGAAGAAACAAAGATAAAGAGTAACTAACTTACTTAAAGACACAGCTGTTAATGACCTGATTCTGAATCTATGCTCGACAATACCTTGTTGAGAAAACATTTAGTTTGACAAAGGGAAATGCCCCAATGGGACCCTCCGGTATAATAATAACTATAGTCCCATAATCTCAACCTTTTCATTTTGAGTGGGCTATGGCAACTGGGGGGAGAGATAAATCATTTTGAATACTGACGGGTTATGATGGAAAACAAGAAGTGTGGGAAAAGGAAGGTGGGATGGCTGGCTCCCAGTAGGAACTCTGAGGGGAAAGAAAGGGATGCTAAATGAAGATGTCAACTGAGTTTTGTGGAGTGATGTGTGATATAACTTCTCTTCTCTGGTCCCCCATGGGATTCTGAGTAATATCTGTATCACAAATGCTTTGAAAACTTGTAGCTGCTTTTGGAGAATCCGAGAAATGGCAGAGTACTGCTTTGGGTGGGTAAGTGCATGGGCCTGAGTCACAGTGAAAAGACAAAATGGTCACCAAGAGGCCAAGAGCAGGAACTGGCATACAGGGAGGAAGGCAAAACTGTTCCTCAGGGGTTAGGAATTTTATATACATTTGTAGTGCATTCCTAAGTATAAAGCAATACAATTATGTAAGCTATATTTGCATTCAGTAATTTTCAATATTACTAAGGGTAGCTAGCTTACCTGTCGAGCCTTTGGAACCCTAAAGATGTGTAGCTTTAAGTGCTGATGTGTTGAAGCAGCTTAAATTCTATTTCCCTTAGTACAGACTCACCTGTAGGTGGTTTCTGGAAGGAGATCTTTGACAACGTGGCTGGTGGTATTGCCCACAGTGAAGCTTGTGTCTCCCAGGTCAATATTGTACGCAAGGATTTCAGACCCATTATTGCACGGCTCTTCCCAGTTCAGTACAAGGCACACAGAAGGTGAATCAGGATAGGCGCTGATGATCTCCTCCTCCAGGACACAGAGAGTGGAGACAGGGTCGGGGGCAGATGCTGGTGTCTGGCAATGGACAAGCTCACTATACGGCCCTGGTCCTGCTTGATTGACAGCCTAAAAACAGAACAGCGGGATAAAGCTCACAACACATCACTAGCAGACACTCATGTCTCTATGTTGGGTGCTATTAAACACAAACAAATACATAATTTGCCTCTAGAAACACATGTAGAAATAAACTCTAGAAAATGTTCACTGCAATCTAATCACCACTGTTCAAAGAATGGCAAATACATAGTAAAGCAAAACATATGACCATCATCATCTCTTATGGAAAATAATTACATTACAATAATTGTACAATGATGTTTTACATTTGCACGGCCCATTCATTTCAGTTTATCTACTGTCTGATGTGATCTTGAAAATAACTCTCTGATAGAGGTATAAAGAGTGGCAAATATTCTGATACATTTCACAGAGGAAGAAACTCGGAGACCGATGAAATAATGTAAGCCCCAGATTCAGAAGCAAAGCTGGGAATGGAAATCAGTTAGTTTATGTGATTTTTAAACAGTGCTGCCCTGAAACAGTGGTAGGAATTTTTAAAAAGATATCTACTATTTTTACATGAATGCAAATTGACACGTCTGCAGTCAATTATCAGTCCCATCTGTGTTCACCTGAGAGCAATGCCTGACACTTAAAATCACTTACTCCCTGCACTTTCAAATACTTTACCGTTTACTGTCTCCAGGATCCCCACACTCTTGTTTATCCTCCTACCTCAACTGCTACTTCTTCTCAATCATCTTTGCTGGCTGCTTACTCATCACTTTGGAGCCCTGGTGTGGCACTGTGGGTTAACGTGATAGATTGCAAAGTTGGTTTGAACTGCAAGTCGGCGGTTCAAATCACCAGCCACTCCTTGGAAACCCTATACAGGGTCGCTGTGGGTCGGAACCAACTGAATGGCACTGAACAACAACGCATCACTTGAATTTCTTAATACTGATGAGCCCAAGCTCAATCCTTGAATACCTCTTCTTTTTAATCTTCACTTCAATTCTCGAAGATTTCATCCTGTTTCATGAGGTAAATGCCATCTACCTTCCACTACCAAATGTATACATGTAGCTCAGATCTTTGGCCTGAACTCCAGTAGAGTGTATTCAGCTGTCACATGATGAACATCTCCACTTTTATGTCAAAGAGGCATCTCAAACTCAAATGATTACCCCGAGCTTTTAATTTTGGCTCCCATCTCCCTCCCATCTCCCGCACGTCCTATAGTCTTTCCCATATTCCTAGTTACTTACGTCACAACACTGAGTCATTCTTGGACATCTCTTCCTCTCATAGCCCCAATCCAGGTCATCAACACACTCTCTCTCAACCTGGCTACTGTGAGGACCCACTAACTAGTGAAGTGTCCGATCAACAGTAGGCACGTCACTTCCTATCTTCCCATTGTGAAAAACATACAAAATACAGTGAAACCTGTGAGAGATGAAACTCAACGAGACTACCTTGCTTTCCAAGTCTGGCAAGTGCTCCACCTTTGACAGGCCTTACCCCTTTCTCTATTGCTTGTTTTAATGAAAATGTCTGAATTTTCCTGATGGGTTTCTACCTTACATAGGTTCCAGCTTTCCCAGGGTTTACTGTAGCACCTTTTCTACTTATTAAAAAAAAAAAATTTCAAATTTGAACTAATTTTAGACTTACAATGAAGTTGCAAATATATACTTCCACTTTTTCCAATAATGTTCTTTTTCTATTCCAGAATCTTACCCAGGACACCACTTTCTTCTACCAGCTTGGCTCTATGGAAAAATGTTTTCTTGATCGAAACTACTGGTTCAAAAGTACATTCTATTAAATAATATATCTGTAATACACAGTATACCTCATGTGAAAATAATTATTTTAGTATATATAATCAAAACATACTAAGGAAAAGCACAAAGTTTTTCTGTGTAAACAAATGCTTCACTTGATTTTTATAAAACCACAATGCAGGTATTATGTTTTTTGTTATTGTTGTGGGCCATGAAGTTGTGTATGACCCATAGCAACCCTGTACAGGGTTTCCGAGGCTGTAAATCTTTATGGGAGCAGAAAGCCTCATCTTTCTCCTGCAGAGCAGCTGGTGGATTCGAACTGTTGACCTTAAGGTTCGCAGCCCGATTCATAACCACTATGCTACCAGAGCTCCTTTTATATACACACACACACATATACAATACTTCAAGTTCTAAGGAGCCAAATATTCAAAGCATACTTGGGTTTAACCTGATTTTAGAGTAACTTCAAATGTAAACAACTCACATTTGGTCACTAAGACAGCAGGAAATCATACAGGCTCAGAAGTCCTTTTTCCTAACCTATTTCATTAGCATAGCAATGGTGGTCTTAAAAACACTTTTTCTTTCAAAGGGTCTGCATCAGTTTATGACAAATTAAGTACACTTATTACTTGAAAATATTTTTTTACTTCTAAGCATAAAAACAGGGAGACAAAAATATTATGTAGGCTGTTTCTTATCCGTGTATCCTTTAAGGTGTAAATTTGGGAAGCCAATGCTAAGTGACGACAGAACCATGACAGGAAGAAAGAAAAACATTGTAAAGAGACCCAAAATGCAAACAGCACAGTGGAGGGAGGCTACTCACAGTGGTGATGGGGTCAGACAGTCTTTATTTATATCCTTGCCTTGTTCTGCGAACAGTGTGGCATATAATCTACCCTTTCCCCAATGACTCGGCATCGTTACTGTAAAGACGAGACCATGCGCAGTGACCCTGACTCAGTGACAAAGGGGTATCTATGTCCTATGTACTCCATCTGAGCAGGAAGTAAAGTGTACAATAAAAGAGTTCGATCAGAAATGTTTATGATAAAGCAGACTTCATAATTTAACAGATAAGCTTCAGCTACCTGGAAAATTAATTTGCAAATAGAATCTTTTCTCCAAAAAGGCTAGGGAAATGGAATGTGGTACTTGGTATAAACAATTTGGTTCATGCCTTAAATCAGGTGGAAACCTTAAATCCAGCATCTCTGCTTCTTTATTTACTTAAATGTAAGTGTGTGTGAAGATAGAACTCCTCCTCAAGGTCAAGTACCTTAGCTGATTAATCTTTGTCTTCTGATCCCGATCATTCTGATCATCTTGATCATCCTTTGATCCTGGTACAAAGTAGTACTCAGGAAATGTTACTGAGAACATGGAAATAAATGGACAAAGATCCCTATCTTCTCATCAAGATAGTCAGACTATGTGAAGGGGAAAAATACATTTGTCCAAGTCAATAAAGTGAATTAAAAGCAAGCCCAAGATTATTGTCATTCTGAGAGGGTCAGTAGCTTTGTTCTGACTTTATTCTGCTTGGTCTCTGTTGTGGAAGATTAGAGATAGCTGGGGCGTGAGGCAGGGTCCTGAAATTTAATACAGACCAGTCGAAATTACTTTAATATGTGTTTTTGGTTCCATTTAGCCAGCTGGCACATAAATTTCCTGTCCTTTGCCAATTCTGTCTAAGTGGCTTGCCCAATGAAATGTGCATCTCAGGGGAATTAAGAGGGAGGCATCATCCATTAGACACTGTACCCGCCTTTCCCTTGGACTTGACCATTTTATCCAGTGACTTCACAAGATTCATGGACAGTGGGAAGTAGAAGAGAGAAGAATACATTTACGTTCTTAAATTTCACAACCTCCTAGACAAATACAGATCACTTGCAAAACAGCAAAACAAACTTACCTCAACTTAAAAGGATTCCTTTTTCCCTTCTTTGAGTAAAATTCTCATAGTGTTTACCATGGCACACTAGTGTGTGAGTCATGTCTGAAGTAATGCCAACCCACCTGTAGTCTACAGCAATACTGTGCAGCAGGCAACAGATCTCTTATTTCAAAGCATGTTTCTATCCCGTCATAGATGAGTTCTAAGGAGTCTTCATCTTCTCCCCATTCCAATCTGTACCCAGAGACATCAGCACCAGAGTTTTCAGGACTCTGGAAATCAGACATGTAAGTAGTTGATAACTCCATCCAGAAAAAATTCCTACTATGTTTATATTCAACTAATGAAACTGAGAAAGAAAGCATGATGCCCCAGAAAATTTCAAATACATATGAATAACATGAGAGGGGTACTCAGTTTCCTTTCAATTAGGATTAGGGGTAAAATGTATAAAATTCAGTATGATTTATAAGCAAGTGCCAAGGGAAAATGCTGTGTAGAAGTGGGGTGGGGAGGCTTGGAGAATCACCTGTATGTTCATTTCGGCTTTGCAAGTTCATCACAACTTACATTTGGGGTAAAGTAGAAGACACAAAAACTGATGCAGAATTTGTGCCTGACTTACCTCCCAACTCACCAGGACCCATCCATCAGGCGTAAAAGAAATACAAGGTGCTTTGCATTGTCCTGGGGGTCCTGCAGCAGTGGTGATTTCTGATACATCAGAATAGGGACCATACTGAAAAAGAAACACACACACACAATCTCGTATGTACAGATATATATGCAGGTTTCTGTGAATACATTTGCATGTAAGAGCTCATCATTAAATAAGGGGTGTAGTTGTTAGCAGCCATCTAGTTGTCTTCCAACACATTCCCACCTCAATGGTAACAATGAAACAAAATGCTGATCATTCCCATGAATGATTGTAAATAGTTAAGTAAGCCATTCTTCCTAGTCTAGTTTAGTCTGGAAGCTCCATTGAAACCTGTTTGGCATCATAGCAACATGTAAGTCTCTTCTGACAGAGAGTGTTGGACATGCAGATGTGCAATGACCAGGAACTGAACTTGGGTTTCCAATATGGAAGGTGAGGAATATACCACTGAACCTCCCATGGCTGATTTTCAAAGCAACTTGTTAGAAAATATCACCTAATGGCTTTCATTTGACTGTGTATAAACAAATTTTTCTCCTTCACACATTCCTTGTGGGTAAAAATCTTATGATATATGTACAAGGGAACTTCAAATCGTTCATAGGAAAATGTAACTAGAAGACAATGGAATTTCCTCACAAATTTTTTGAAGCCCCCTTGTGTATATGTATATGGAGTCTTGGTGTGGTACTATGGGTTAATGCAATCAACTGCAAAGTTGGTATGAACCACAAAATCAGCAATTCAAGCTCACTAGTCGCTCCTCAGAAATCCCATAAGTCAGAACTGACTCGATGGCACTTAACAACAACAAACATATATATATATATTATCCTAAGGATTACAAAGGTGGCTTACCAACTATTTTTCCTTTACTACAACTACAACATCAGAAACAAAAACATATGATTCCTGACCTACTATGGCATTAACATTTCTCAGAGGGGATTAAACAAAACTAAGTCAGATGCACACTGCAGGTTAAATTTTAATGCATAAAAATGTACTTGGAATTGATAGTTGATTATCAGATTCTGGGTTTCCTTTTAGGTACTGGTACTTTCCATTTTGGAGTCTAATGCTCCTGTATTGATTTCTCAGTGTGTTCCCCCCACCATCTCAACTACTAGAGGTTTATAGTTTTGTGTTACACTGAGTGATCATATTGCTCAGAGTTGATAATCACTAGAGACAATACATTTTGAGACAATGGTACTGCCCATTTCCATATGGAACAGGTGTAGTTCAAAGAGTTGGGGTAAAGAGTAAATTGATTTCCAAGCTAATGAAGAATGCGTCTCAAAATGAAAAAACAATATTTAAAATAATCACGCCTCAGTTTTCCAGCCTAACTTGCAAATATACATGGGAAGTCTTCTGATATGGATCTCAGAGGATGACTACAAGCCAAATGTCTAGTTAGCTTTGAATCTAACAGAAATGAACAAAAGCTGGAGATATTTTCTGTCTATGATCAGTCATGAAAGGAAAGAGAGCTTAATCCTCAAAGCAATCCATCTGCACATTTGTCTTTGTTATAGCAGAAATCCCCTGAGATGCTTATGGGGCAGAGAGCAAATTAAGGTCTCTGTAGTATCTGCAGTGGTCACCATACATCCTCTTTGCATTTACATAATGAGTTTTGGACAAGCTAAACCTTCTTACCAGTATATTTTTATTGTTTAGTTTTTCCTTTTAAGTATCTGAGCTGTTTCTGATTTTTTTTTTTTTTTCATCAGAGAAGAGAAGAAATTTAGCTCCTAATCTGAGACCTTACTTCAGATATCAAACCATAAGGAGCTGCATTTCTCCATTCAGTGGTGGTTAGCGTGGAACTAACTAAAGATACACTTAATCTCCATTCGAAGTGCCTTGAAAGTGACCTCCAACAACTAGAAAAGGTCACAGTCAGCTTAGTGTCACTGTCAGCTGGGCTTCTCTATTGTATTTTATAATGAAGTACATTTATTCATTTGTTTACATGGAACTCATCGATGGGACTCACTGGCAGTGTTGGGGGGCATTAGCCTCTGCCTGCTTTACTTTAACCATTCTGCCCATCTCTGACACACCAAGAGGCTCCACAGCTTCTGGACCACCTAGTTCTCATTAAGAACCTCCCCAAATCTACATTTCTTTCTTTCTTTTTTTGTTTTAAACTAACAAAGCACCATTCTATGGATACAATACAGATGCATGTGCTCTGAACTTCTGATATCCCACACTGACAGCTCCAAACAGAAGGACACCAGGCCAGGGAGTTCCAAGGTCTTCACCAGAAACAAACACAAACAAATAAACTGGCCTGCCCAGCCTCCACCTCACTCCATTTAAAAACTGAGCTATGGTACTGTTTATTAGCTCAGAGTATGAGGTAAAGAATAGTGCATAGTCCTAATATCCTAAGGGGTCCTGGTGAGTCACTAACCCACCAGCTGCTCCTTGGAAACTCTGTACAGGATTGCTATGACTCAGAACTGACTCGATGGCTCTTAACAACAGCAACAATCTTCTAAAACTGATACATACAGTCAACCAGAGGATAGGAAAGTATTCTAGAAACTACCAGATGTATCTACAACAGAGTAATGTTCTATACTTACCTTGAGCTCTATCTTGATAGACTGATAGGACAACAAAAGAAATGAAAATTTTCTAATGCTGAACTGAGTCTTTGAAATCACAATTCTGAGATGGGATTAATACATTACTTCTTTAATGACTCTCAAGGTTGGACAGATAACGCCACTGAGGAATTTCTCAACTTAGTACCTCATTCAATTTTAAGTCACTGTTGTTGTTGTTAAGTGTTGTCAAGTTGGTTCTGACTCACAGTGAGCCTGAGTAGAGTTTCTGAGGAGTGGCTTGGGCTTTTGAACCACTGACCTTGCAGTTACCAGTTTAGTGTTTATCTGGCAGCACCACAGTGTATATAAAATCTTGTAAGGAGCACTGGTGGTGTAGTGTTTGTTAAAGAGCTCAACTGTAAACTGAAAGGTTGATCATTTGAAAACCACCAGCTGCTCCATGGGAGGAACATGTGGCAGTGTGCTTCCATAAAGATTTACAATTTTGGAAACCCGATGGGCAGCTCTCCTCACTGTCCTATATGGTCTCTATGAATCACAATCGGTTCACAGGCAGGGGTTTTGTTTGTTTGTTTTTTATAAGTCTAAGAGGCTTATATTTTAATTAAGGTGTTGGGTCTTAGACTTACCCCTCCGTCATTCAGAGCCCTCACCCGGAAGCGATACACAGTTCCGGGAAGCAGGTGTCCAACCGTGCACTCCAGGTCGGGCCCGTGGTACACCTCTGAAGCTACATCCTCAGGCTCTGTCATCTCCACACTGTACTCTGAGACCTCACAGCCACTTTCAGATGCAGGAACATCTGTAGGTGGAGAATTATATTCTTTTCAGAACATTTTTATGTTTCCAGTTGACCACCTCACACCTGTCTTTCCAGTTTACAAAATATAGATGGCCTGTCTTCAGTATATCTCTTAAAAGAGCAACCCCTATCTCCAAAACATCAAAAAGAAAAACAAAAGAAAAATGTTTTGATTGATATGGTCCATACTTTCTCCACAGCATGAATAATTTTTAAAAATTAAAGTATAATAGTTAATAAAAGTACTTCAAAATAACAGGAGCATAAGGCCAATCTTCTCATTTCCTTATATGTAAAGGTAAAGGGAAAAAGAAGGAGGGAAAAAATCTCTTTAACTTGAAGTCAAAGTTAACTACCTAACACTGTTTCGCTAAATGCAGGTGTATGATACCAAATTGACACAATATTTTATTGTTTTAGACACAAATGGTGGGAAAAGGAGTCTGTTAGAGTTCTATAGGTTTATACTTATAACTTTACATGATATAAACTGCTGATAGGATAGGGAATACTAATATAGCTTGAGTAAATACTGAACAGGAACCACACACTGACAAAGCAGACAGAGAGAAGAAGAAATTCGCTACTGCCCTATGGGAACATTCAGTCTCTGAACTGAGCATAATGTTCTTCTTATGAATAAAGCTGAAAAATTCCTGAAAAGGATTGGCTTGCCTACTCTGAAACATTCTCTGGAAAAGTGTCCTCCAAAGGTCAGGAGACAAAGAGTATGTCTGACCCCACGAGGAGTAAGAGGATGAGGGATGGTACAGGGGAAAATACAAAACCAAGCCAACGTGCATTAAGGATAACATGGACATTTTCAATAGGAAAAAAAAAGTTCTAGAATTAAGATGTGAAATTTAACTATAAACCATTAAGTCTTAATCTCAAATTGTCAATGCCAATGTGAAGATTTGTACACTCACCCCACTCTAAGTGGACTTCTTTGTGCTTTGGTCTACCCAAAACCCTCGGTGGTCGGCACTGACCTGGTGCAATGCTTAGTGTGCGAACTGGGAGACTTTCAGAACACTGTGGAAGAAACACCAGAGAGTCATCTTTTAGTACGATCTATTAATTAGACCACTACATACCAGGCAAAAGCCACTCCATAAATGTAAATGCTATCAAAAGGAGGTTTTACACTGAATATGTACACATACTACTATATGCTTTTTATAATATATAAGGCCTTTGTGTGTGTGTTTTAACTGTAGATGTATACTGCATACCAAACTAGTAAAAACAAGAATGATTATATCTGAAGTCAGATTAGTAGATATGAGTGTTGTGTATATCCTAAGTACATGATTATTTCACTCTAAACACAAATTAGAAAGACCTTTCATGAGGACAGAAAAGAACACAAAATAACAGCTGGATGAAAATTTTAAATGGTGTCATAAATAGCCAACCAGTCACGTAAAGAGCAGAAAAGCAAATCAAGTTGCTATGAATCAACTGAGTCTAACATTAACTGGCAGGTTTTGTCAAGACTAAAATAAGTAGGCCTTCATTTATTCATTATCTGTCTGTACTTGCATGTAAGGGTGGTAGTGTGGAAGCTGACCACCATTTTGACACAAGGAAAAAAACATAGACCTATGTAAACCAATCAAACTAAATCTTCTCTGAAATGAATGGTGCTGAAGAGACTCATTTTTTATTTTATTACTTTTTAAAAAAATAAATACAAGCAGTACAACCATTTGGTAACATTCCATAGCACTTCACATACACTTGGCACCCAGAAGTTCTCTGTGGCTTGGATTTGGTTGTGCTCCACCCTGGGAAGCAAATCCAGAGAGCGCTGGGTCTGCATAAGGCTGAACCAACAGGACTTTCTTCCAAAGAGTTCATCTGTATAGGCAATCTAGATACCATAGTACCAATGGGGGTGGAGGTCTGGGAGAGAGATAATCTTAAATAGATGTTGTGTCAGACTAACAAAAACTAGGTACCCAAATGGCACCCTCTTGAAAAGTCAAACCAATTTGAGATTATAAGCTACTTTTTATCCCACTCTCTAAACAGTAATTGTTCTAAGCCATAATGTTTAATGTCTCTATAATTAAAAATTTTTTTTACCGTCTTCTTTTGTATCCACTTTTCTGAAAATAAGCTAAGTTCTTTCAGGCAACAACCTCATTTCTAGACATGGTTATTATTAGTTATTTTGAACCTGTATCAGCACTGTGGTTGAAAGTGAGGCCTCAGACATGTTAACTGGTCTAAACTTAAAACAAATAGTAGACAACAATAGAAGGGGGACTGTCTACAGATGTGCAAGCTGGGCACTGCCCAACTGCCAGAGGTACCATTCAGTGCCATTTTCATAAATTTAGATGGTTTTTTAAATTTTTTCAGCAGATGGCAGTAAAGTACCTTGAGGAAGGTATGTCTCAAACTGTCACCAAACTGCTCGATGTGGTACCAGGAGAATTGTATAAGAGGTCGTATCTTTGACTCTGAAGTGTATGCTTTTCCATCACTGCAATACTCAACAAAGCCCCCAGATGATGCAAATTCCAGACAACACTCACTTTGAACTGTCACGTCAAAGTCTTCAGAGAAATAACTAAGTGACAAATGTACCTAAATGGACCACAATTCAGTTGAGAATCATTTAGACCCATCTTTTATGTCCTCTAAAATGCAACTGTAAAAGGCGCTATTTTTCATTCCCTACTGTGAAACCATGGCAGGTTTCATTTTCAAGATGCAATTCTAACTCACAATTTTATTCTGATGTTATAAATAGGCTATCCGGATCTGACCAAAGTTGTTTACTTTATACTGCAGCAAAACCAACCTGACTGTGTCCACCAGTACTGATGCAGCATGCTCGCAGTTTGTACAAAGTGCCTGGTTTCAAGTGGGTCAAAGTGTATTCTGTAGCCGATCCACTGTAAGCCACTTCCCACTGATTCGCTGTAAAACAAGGTACATGTATGAGTTTATGGCTTTTGTAAAAATGTAACATTATCTACCATTACAGATAAGAAAAAGCCCCCAGTCGTTTCCATGAAAACCAGTACCTACTATTTTTTAAAACAGCCATAGGAATCTTTGAATTCCTGATGTGGTGCTGTAGGATAAGCACTAGATGGCTAGCCACAAGGTCAGTGGTTCAAAACCACCATATGCACCATGGAAACCCTATAGAACATCACTACGAATTAGAACTGATTCAATGGCACTTAACAACAACAACAACAGCATGGAGCTCTTTTCCCCTTTCCTTTACTAAAATAACATGGCGTCATTTTTAATACTTAGTACTACTGGCCAGACCAATATCCCCATGATTACATTTGCTCAGGGTTGGATGCTGGAAAGCACGTGAAATTCGTGTTAAGCTCCTTTGACCACTGGGGTTGAGATGAAGGACAGTACTGAGCAAACTGTGACAAGCTCATACCTGTGGGAATTTCCTACCTTGGTCCTACTTCCATTAATGCAATGTTTCCAAGGTTATTTCACAAAAGCCTTTCACTACATGGGGTTGCCTTAAGGAAAATGCTTTAATCTATTCCATAGATTAATCTATTCCATAGTCACTAGGGTAACTTCAAATTTTCTCAGCTGCTTATTAGATTATACTTAAAATTAACCTGCATGTACTAAACCCACATGAGAAAGAGTCCTGGTGTGGCACTGTAAGATAACCACAAGATCACCGCTCTTTAGAAATCCTATACAGTGTTGCTATGAGTCAGAACTAACTCAACGGCACTTAACAACAACAATTATCCTTGAAGTCCTAGTGGCTCAAAAGGTTAAAGGGCTCAACTACTAGCTATAATGTTTGCTATTGGAATCTACACTGAGGCGCTTCACTCAGACGGCAGGCCTGACGATCAGTTTCCAAAAGTCAGTCTTGAAAACCCTTTAGAGCAGTTCTACTCTGCACACTTGGAGCCTCGATGAGACAACCAGCACCACAACATTATCTTGAAATTACTGATCAGAAAATATTTTCTGAAAAGTTGACTAATAAGAGTAGGGAGGAGTGAGAAGATTCAGTTCAGTAAATCGTGCATGTCCACACTGGTAAAGGTGGAATTTTTAAAGACAGAAGGATCCCTTATTTTGATATGTTATCTATGTTCATGACAGCGATGCAACTGCAAACACACTTAGATTACATGATATATACACACATATACATATGGAGTTCTGGTGTAGTGCTGTGGGTTAAGGCACTGGATTGTAAAGTTGTTTGAACTACAAGGTCAGCAGTTAAAACTTACCAGCCACTCCTTGGAAACCCTACACAGGGATGCTATGGGTTGGAACCTACTTGAGGCATTTAACAACACATATCTGGTAGCGTAGTGGTTACGAATTGGGCTGCGAACCTTAAGGTCAGCGGTTCGAAACTACCAGCTGCACCGCGGGAGAAAGATGAGGCTTTCTACTCCCGTAAAGATTTACACCCTCGGAAACCCTATACAGGGTCGCTATGGGTCGGAACCGACTCTATGGCACATAACAACAACAACATACATATACACACACATATACACACATATACACACACACACACACACACACACACACACACACACACACACATATATATATAATATATAAACCTTTTCTTATAAGTAAGTTTTCTAATGTGAATAAACTAGTAAGATTTTTAGCATGGTATAGTTAAGTGCAGTTGAGTCGGTTCCGACTCAGCGACCCTTGTAAAGAGTTTCTGAGGAGTGGCTGGTAAACTTGAACTGCTGACTTTGAGATTTAAACCAACCTTGTAGTCCAGTGATTTATCCCACAGCTGAAGGATGGCTATACTAATCTCAATGAATAATTTTGTAAAATAGGAACCAATAAAACATAAAATAGAAAAGTAGAGTGATTCAATTTGCTATTAACATTCAGTGTAATTTGGTCCAAAATGTGCCTTGCTTCAGAGCATGAGCTAAACAGGAGTAAATTCCAGCTTTACACTCAGCCGCTGCTCTGTGTGAGCACCACTCCGCTGTCACTGACACTGGTTCTTCTGAAAAGTTTCCACCAATTATTTCATTTTTATTTTTGTCTTGTATGTTGTGTTGTTATTGTTAAGTGCCGTTGAGTCGGGTCCAACCCATAGCGACCCTGTACAGGGTTTCCGAGGGTGTAAATCTTTACGGGAGTAGAAAGCCTCATCTTTCTTCCGCGGAGCAGCTGGTAGTTTCGAACCGCTGACCTTAAGGTTCGCAGCCCGATTCGTAACCACTACGCTACCAGAGCTCCTCTTTTGTCTTGTATATTATTATCTAAATAATTAATGATGAGAAGGGTTATTATTAGGATAATGGGGTTATGTGTCAGTTTTTAAAGTTTAGATAACTGTAACTTTATTTTATTAAGCTCAAAATAATTTATTGTTTTTAAGAAAGAAAACTTATGAACTGAAAAATAAAAAAGGCACTATCTAAGGGATTTGATCCCACTTTAGTCTATGTGGTACAGTGATGTTACATTTATCTGTTATCATTACATATTTCTATGGGCCACTGAACTGCTGCACGCTGGTAGGCTAAGCACTCAAACTCAAGGTGGGTTTGAACTGCAAGGATGGTGGTTCAAACTCACCAGCCGCTCCCTGGAAACTCTATGCAGGGTTGTTATGAGTTGGAACCGACTAGATGACACGTAACAACAACAACAACTGAACTCCTTGGCTGTCTCCAACTGGTTGACTTTCACTTTCCCTGCTTAAGAAAGTTTCCAGAAAAAAGTAGGAAACATAAGGAATGAAAGAGTTCATTTTCATGTTATTAATTTACAACTCTGAATTAAAAAAATGAATATGGTGTTATTATTATTGTTGTTAAGTGCTGTTGAGCCGGTTTTGACTAATAGTGACTCTGTATAGGGTTTCCAAGGAGAGGCTGGTAAACGTGAACTGCCTTGCAGTCCAGTGCATTAACTCATAGCTCCATACCAGGACTCCAAAAAACAAATATAGAAGACAGAAAAAGTAACAAACAAATAAAAAACGTGTTTATTTCAAGACAACAGTAGTGGTGCTGATGCTGTCAATATGTGATTAAGATTTGTTTACTAAAACAGCTCTATCACTAGAATTAATGATTGCTGGCTATTAGCATAAATATGTTTATCGTATTAGAAAGTAGAGTTTGTCACAGGATTTTGGAGTAAATTTTGCAAAGAATTACCTTCAGAATTTCCATCAGTAATCTCCAGCAAATATTTAAGGATTTCTGAACCACCGTTGTCCTTTGGAGGATCTGTAAACAAAGGTATTACTAGTTATAAAAGAATACTGATTTCTTTGTTGGTTAAAAATAACTAAAATAATTATCAGATAATATTGTAATGTCAAAACTCTGGGCATAACCAGAAGGCACAATAATTATTTCACACCAAACTCCTTTTCCGAAAAACAAAACCAACCTAAATAGTAAGTCCTCCCAAAAAACTTTGAATAGTACTTTTGTAGTAGTTGTTTGTTGTTAGGTGTTGTCGAATCGATTCCTATGCACAACAGAAAGACACACTGTCAGGCCCTGCACCATCCTCACAATTGTTACGTTTGAGTCCATTGTTTCTGCCACATCTCATGGGGTGGGGGTGGAGGTGTTCCTCTTTATCCGCTAACCCTCCACTTTTCTAAGCATGATGCTCATCTCCAGGACGTGGTCCCTCCTGATCATCTGCCCAAAGTTCTAGAGACAAAAATAAAATCTCACCACCCTGGCTTCTAAGGAGCATTCTGGCTGTACTTCTTCCAACACAGATTTGTTTATTCTACCAGTCTATGGTACTTTTAATATTCTTCACCAACACCATAATTCAAATGCACAGATTCTTCTACAATCTTCCTTATTCAATGTCCACTTTTCACATGCATGCACATGAGGCAACTGAAAATACCTTCATTTGGGTCAGGTGCATCTCAGTCCTCAAACTGATTATCTTTGTCCATGAACCCTTTAAAGAGGTCTTGTGCTCTAGATTTGCCTAATACAATACATCGGCTGATTTCAACTTGAGCCTTTTCTCCATTTACCATGAAGTTATTTATGGTATGGTTTTGAGGACTTTTGTTTTCTTTACATTGAGATGCAATTCATACTAAAAGCTGTAGTCTTGGATCTTCATCATTAAGTATTTTAAATCCTGAAAACTTCCAGCAAGAAAGGTTGCTTAATTTGCATAGCACAGGTTAAGTGAAACTTCTATCAATTCTGATGCCATGTTCTTCTTCATATAATTCAGACTCTTGGGTTATTTGCTCATCATACAGATTGAATAAGCATGGTGAAAGGATAAAACCCTGGCACACAGCTTGTATGATTTTAAGTAATTCAATATCTCATTCTGATTGAATAACTGCCTCTTGGTTTATGTACAGGTTTTCTGCATAAGCACAATTAAGTTATTGAATAACCATTTTTCACAATGTTATCTATAGTATTTCATGACCCACATAATCAAAAGCCTTTGAACTGTCAATAAAGCACAAGTCCATATATTTTTGGTACTCTCTATTTTTAGTCAAGAGCCAACTGACATGAGCAAATAAATTCTTAGTTCCACATCCTCGTTTGAATCTGGCTTAAGTTTCTGGCAACACCCTGTCAATGTACTGTTGCAACTGTGTTTGAATTATCTTCAGCAAAATTTTAGTTGCATCTAATATTAATGATACTTTTCAATGAAATCTATATTTCACTGGATTGCTTCTCTGGAATGGGAACAAATATTATCTTGGCATAAATGATTGAGCACCAGACTTATGGCCATTGGTGAGTGAACACCTCCAGTGAGTTGTTTCATCAGTTTGTTGGAAGATTTCAACTTCTATTCTGTCAATTCTGGGAGCCTTGTTTTTCAGCAATGCCTTCAGTGAAGCTTGGACTTCTAGAACCATATGCTACTTGGACTCTTGAACATATGCTACCTTTTATATTATGTGACCATAAATCATTTCTTTTGCACAGTGACTTTGTGTATTCGTTCTCTTTTGATGTTTTTTGCATTAATTAATATTTTGCCCATGTTTCTGTTGTGAAGTGCCATAGAATCCTTCAATAACGCAAGTCGAGGCTTGAATTTTTCCTTCAGTTCAGTTTCAGTTTGGTTTTCTAACTCTAGGTCTTTGCATATTTCATTATAATACTTGACTTTGTCTGCTTGAACTCCCCATCGGTTCAGCTCTTTTACTTCCTCATTTCTTCTAGACACTTTAGCTTCTCTACGCTCAGAAACAATGGGTCTTTTCTTTCTTTCCTGTCTTTTTAATGACCCTTTACTTTATTTCTGTATGATAGTCTTGATGTCCTCTCACAAGTCATTAGCGTCTAATACATCTAAGCTGTTTTTGAGATGGACTCTAAATACAAGGTCATATTTTGGCTCTCATGGACTTGTTCTGATTTTTTTTCAGCTTCAGCCTGGCCTTGCACATGTGCAGTTGATGGCTTGTTCCACCGCTGATGGTTCTGTTTTGGCTGTTGATATTGAGCTTCTTCCACACCGTCTTTTGCCCACAGATGTGCTCAGTTTGAGTCCTGCGTATTTGATCTGGTGAGGTCCATTTGAATCATTACCTATTCTGCTGTTGAAAAACGGTGTTTGCAGTGAGTAAGTCATTATTGTTGTTAGTGTTGAGTTGTTTCCAAGTCATAGTGAACCTGTCTAGTTTCCGAGGCTTTAAATCTTTGCAGAAGTAGAAAGCCTCATCTTTCTCCCGGAATATATCATTGGACAGGCAACATTTTATCAAGTGACTTCTGGCCTCATTTTTATCACCAACGCCATATTTTCCAACTATTGATCTTTCCTCTCTATTTCCAAGCTTCACATTCTAATCACCAGTAATTATCAATATATCTTGATTGCATGTTTTATCAATTTCACACTGAAAAAGTCGGTAAAATTCTTCAATTTAATCATCACTGACTTTAGCAGCTGGTGCATATATTTGAATAGCGGTACTAACTGGTCTTCCTTATAGACATATGGATATTACCCAATTACAGACAGCATTACACTTAAAAGAAAGATCTTGAAATATTATTTTTGACAATGAATGTAATGCCATTCCTCTTCAATTTGTTGTTTTCAGTATTGTAAACCATATGACTATCAGATTTAAAGGGGCCAATACCAGTCCATTTCTGCTCACTGGTTAGGTGCTGTTGAGTTTGTTCCAACTCAATGCAACCTTGTAAAGGGTTTCAGAGAATTTAAATCTTTGCAGGAGCAGAAAGACTCATCTTTCAACTGCAGAGCAACTAATTGGCTTGAACCACCAACCTCGTGGTTCACAGTCCACTGCTTATCCTATGGAGCTCACTAATGCCTAACATACTTATCTTTATGTATTCCATTTCATTTTTGACAACTTCCAATTTTCCTAGATTCATTATTTTGCACATTCTATGTGCTGATAATTAATAGATTCTTGCAGCTGTTTCTCCTCATTTTGAGTTGTGCCCCACCAGCAAATGAAGGTCCTGAAAGTTTTGCTCCATTCACATCATTATGGTCAGCTCTATTGTGAGGAGGGAGCTCTTCCCCAGTCTTTTTTGAGTGCCTTCTAACCTGAGGGACTCACCTGTGGCACTAAATCTGACAACATTCTGCTGCTAGTTATGTTTTTATCTTCCAGCACAATGTCTGACAATGTTCAGCTGCTATTCATAAGTTTTCGGTGGTTAACCACTCAGAAATCGTCTACCTCTCCTTCCTAAGTTTTAGTCTGAAAGTTTCACTGAAACCTGTCCACCGTGGGTGACCCTGCAGGTATTGAATATACTAGTGGCTTAGTTTCCAGCATAAAAACAACACATAAAAAGTCACCACAATACAACGAACTAAGTGATGAATGGTGGTAAACAGTACTAGATTACTCAAAGTTCTTAGCGATAGAAATGTCAAAGAGTTAGCACAATTTAGTAAACATGAATAAAATTCAAGTACGAATAGATGTTTCTAATAGTTACCTGAATGAATTATTAACTGAGAATTTTGAAGGTTGCTCTTTATTATTTGATAATTTCTATATAAAATGAAATATTCATTTGTTTTTTCCTCTTCTCATTTTATTATACTTAAATTTTTACTAATTTGATCAGGAGGATGACTAGATTCTTTTGAAAGATGTGGAAAGGAGGGAAAAAAAAGTGCTAACTAAATGTACTGAAAAAGAAAATAAAACACAGAAAAGAGTATCTCTCTTCCAACACAGTTTGCAATAAAGGCAAACTCTACACCCCAAGAGACGCTGATATAAAATCTGAAATGTGGACCAGGTACAACAAGAACACAGTTCGAGGTAGAAGGTTTCGGCTATTAGTGGTCTATGGCACTTTGGGTATGTTAGTCTATGCTGGCTGTATGCCTATGGTTGTTCTTTTCTTCTTAGAAGCTTTCTGTATAATATTGCAAATATGGCGGCGCAACTGTTAAAGTGCTAGACTGCTAACCAAAAGTCAAGTCCACCAGTGGTTCCATGGCAGAAAAGGCCTGATAATCTTCACTCGTGAACACTACATACTAGGAAATCCTATATGGCAGTTCTACTCTGTCATATAGGATCACCGAGTCAGAATCAACTAGACAACATTAAAAAAACACCAGTCGACCTCCCACTTACTCCTTAAAAAAGGCTATTTTTCTGAGGATTGCCTCAGATTAGGTGCTGTTGGGTCGGTTCCAATTCATAACAACCCTGTGTACAACTGAATGAGACACTGCCCTGCTGTCCAGCATCATCTTCAGAATTGTTATATTTGAGTCCACTGTTGCAGCCGCTGTTTTAATTGATTTCATTGAGGCTCTTTCTCCTTTTCACTGCCCTCTACTTTACCAGGCATGATGTTTTTCTCCAAGAACTGGCTCCTCCTAGTAGCATGTCCATAGTATGTGAAGTGATGTCTCGCCACCTTCCTGTCTAAGGAGCATTATAATTGTACTTCTTTCAACGCAGATTTGCTTATTCCTCTGCCAGTAAATGTATTTAAAATTCTTCACCAACAATGTAATTTAAATGTATCAATTCTTTAATCTTATTGATTGCCCAGCTTTTGCATATAGATGTGGTGACTGAAAATACCATAGCTTGGGTCAGGTATACCTTGGTGATGGTGGTCTGCAGGGGAGTTGGTTCTGACTCATAACAACCCTGTAAATCTTCACAGGAGCAGAAGGCCTCATCTTTCTCCTGTGGAAAAGCTGGTAGTTTCGAACTTCTGATCTTGAGATTAGCAGCCCGACTCATAACCACTATGCTACCAGAGCTCCTTAGTCCTCTCAAATTGAAATCTTTGCTTCTGAACTCTTTAAAAAGGTATTTTTCAGTCTATTTCCCCAATGCAATACACTTTTTTTTTTTTTTTTTTTTTGATTTCCTGACTGCTGCTTCTGTGAGCACCGACTGCAGATCCAAGAAAAAGAAAGTCTTTGATATGGTCAATATTTTCTCCATTTATTGCAATGTTGCTTATTAGTCCAGTTGTGAGTACTTCTATTGTCCTTCTATTGAGGTGGATCCATATTGAAGACCGTAATCTTTGATGTTCATCAGTAAGTGCTTCAAATCCTCTTCGCTCTCCCTCCATCTGGTATTTACAATAATGCATATACTTGCTTTACTAAAAGGTATCTACAATAACAATTATAAAATTCAATATTATAGCTAATGAACGTAATACTTAGTGCTGACAGCAATTTCTAGGACTTTATTTTGATACTAAAGCCCTACAGTTTAGGTGGAAGGTTAGTACGTCAAATCCCACCAGCCACTCCACAGAACCAACTAGACATTAGAATAGTCTGATGTACAATTGCAAATGAAGTGTTCATTAGACATTTGCAATTGTACCTCGTCAGACTATTCTAATGTGTATTGTTGTTGTCAAGCACCCCCTAGTTGGCTCTGTACTTCTGACATATTGTCAGGAGGGATCAGTCGCTGGAGAAGGATATAATGTTTGGTAAGGTGGTGGGTCAGAGAGAAAGAGGAAAACCCTCAGCGAGATGGACTGGCAAAGTGGCAGCATCAATGGGCTCAAGTGTGACAACAATTGTGAGATTGGCCCAGGATCGGGCAGTATTTCGTTCTGCTGTGCACAGAGTCGCTATGAGTCAGTACTGACTCGGTAGCACCTAACAACACCACCACCACTTCATTAAAATATTTGGTGAAGTATAGGTGAGTCATATTTCCTTTCACCAGATACCCTCAAATATTAGAAGATGAGCTTAAATATTCCACAAGTCTTCAACAGCTTTGAACACAAAAATGTTCCTAATTTCATCACTTGTAGTTTTAACATCAAAATTTACTTAAGCTGACAAAGTAAAATTCTGAAATTTACTTTCAATATTAGCTTTAAAAATCAAGCTTTTTATATTACATATTGCTAAATTTTTTGACACATGCTACTAAAGAACTATATGTATTTATTGTTGTCAAGTGGCATTGATTGGTTTCCAACTCATAGAAACACTGCAGCCCTGCATAGGGTTTCTGAGGAGCAGTTGGTGGGTCTGAACCGCCGACCATGTGGCTCAAACTGACCTTGTGGTCCAGTGCATTATCCTACAGAGCCACAAAGGATGCCATATAAATGTACATACAGCGCCACACCAGGGCTCCTTTACATGTTAATTATTTGATCGTAATACTTTGTGAAAATATATATAATGAAGAACATATTAAGTATCTTATATGTTGGTGTGGTGCTGTAGGATAAGCACTGTATTACTAACCAAAAGGTCAATCTTCAAACTCAGCAGTCACTCTCAGAAACCCTATATAGGGTTATTATGAGTTGAAACTGACTCAAGAGCACACAACAACAACAAGATAAACATGAGATACAGGAAAGTCAGAAAATAAATGAGATGATCTTAAAACTTCCTGTCTATTTCATCAATCTGTACAAGTCTCAGGATGACTCTCACACATAAATATAGTCCAAATGTCATAAACCCCAACAAATAATTGTGTCCTCCCTCCATACCATGTGCAAACTAACTATCGAAATTAGTCAATTTTACAGAAAAACCTGGAAACATACCCCATTTGACACTGAAGCCATGAGATGTCACTGGTCCTTTAATCAGGGGTCTTGTAGGAGGTCCAGGCCTGTCAGGACTTGTTGTACAAACCAAAACTTCACTTGGACAGCTTTTCCCTTCCATATTAGAAGCAGTCAGCTACAACACAATCAAGGAAACATTAATATACCGCATTATAAAGAACAATGGTGAATTCCTGGATGGACTGGTGGGCATATTGCTAGCACAGCAAGACAAGCATATTGGATCATGAGAAGGCAAGAATAGATCGAGAGAGAGACCAATGTTCCTTGGTGGTTACCAAAATGAAAAAAGGGGGAGGAGGGTGAAGTCCAATTTAGATTGCAGAGACTTGATTTTGATGAAGAGAAAAGTGCCACCAAATGTGGTTGTAGTGACCACAACATAACCAAAGTCAAAATGAGCATTTATGCACATATGGGTATGTAAGGCATACAGGTACACAGGTGGGCAGCGGTATGTATACAGGTGAGAACAGATAGAAGTGATTATTTAAAACCACAGAATAAACCCTTGCTGTTAAGCGAAGTCTAGTTCACAGAGACCATAGAGAATAGAACACAGCTGTCCCATAAGGTTTCCAAGGCTACATTACTTAAAGACACAGATTGCTACAGCTTTCTCCCACGGAGCAGCTAGTGGGTTAGCAGTCAGCAGGTTAGCAGCTAGTAGCTGAGAGCTTTAGCCACAGTGCCACCAGGGATTCTAGAAGCAACAATCCAACCAAAAAAAAAAAAAAACCAGGGTCACTCATAGTGACCCTCTATAAGGTTTTCAAGGCTGCAAGTCTTTATAGGAGAAGGCAGCCGTATTTTTCTCCTGCGCAGCAGTTGATGGGTTTGAACTGTCAACCTTGTAGTTAGCAGTCCAGTTCATCAGGGCTCCTTAGAGGTACACAGGTATGTGTACATACAAATAACTGGGCTGTTGTTGTTGCTGTTAAGTGCAATGGAGTTGGTTCTGAGTTACAGCAACCCTGTATGGGGTTTCAAGGCTTGAAACCTTTAAGGGAGCAGAAAGCCTCATCTTTCTCCTGCAGAATGACAGATGGGCTCGAATCGTGGACCTTGTGGTTTGCAGTTTTATGCTGTCGTGTGGAGTGCAAGCATGAATATTCATCGAAGACTCAAATACAGATATTCTACAGATATAACCCAACCCTTTACAAAACTAGTACCCTGGGTTTAAAGACTTAGGATAATAATCTCATAGCATAACTCAGTAAACTGGAATAACATATTTCCCAAAATCCATGATCTGCATCCTAGTGAAATGAGTAGTACCCGGGGTCTTCAATGCTTGCTTTCAAGTAGCCATCTAAGACACAACTACTGGTCTCTAATCACCAGGAGCAAATGAGTAAGAAGAGAAACAAAGAGAAGAAACTAGTACACGAGACACAGCCTCGTCTACAGTGAGAACAAAAGAACTAGGTGATGCTCAGCTACCACCACTCAGCGCTCTGACCAGGGCCACCAGACATAGTTCCAGATAAAATGGGAGAAAAATGTGGAGCAGAACTCAAATTCTTTTGTAAAGCTTTTATTGTGAACTGAGGGATAGTTTACATGGGAGAACACTGGCTTTAAACCATTGTTTCATTGCAATGATTACAATATCTCCTCCATGCGTCACCATTCAACAGTATTTGCTTCCTCAAGTTCTTTTTAAAAAAGACAAACGCACACAATAGAGACCAGAGCCCCCACCAAAACTACCACACTGTGATAACTCTTTAAACCTAGAACTTGGTTCTTCCCCTGAGATCACCTTTAAGTTAAACAGGAGAATGACTGACAAAATAAAGGATAGTATTTATAATATTGGCGCTTTACTAACAAGTCAAGGAGTCTGTAGGATAAGCACCAGACTGCTACCCAGAAGGCTGACTATTCAAATCCACCAATTACACCTTGGAAACTCTATGCCGGGTCACAATGAGTCAGAACCGACTCAAACAGCACTTAACATTAACAACTTCAAACTAAACTTGAAACTAAACCATCAACAATTACTTGAAAACAAAATTGAGACTAAAAGGGGACAGGAAATCTAGAGTATAAGAAATGGAACAAACAGAACACAGTTCAACAGAATGTTGCTACACTGTGATAAATGTAATATCACTGAACAATTTGTGTGAAATTGCCAATAGGAACCTAAATTGCTGTGGATAGTTTCACCAAATAAAGTATTACTTTAAAAACAATTACCAATATTTAGAAATCAGGAATTAAATCAATGGTGGCTTTTTAACATAGCAAAAATCAAGGCATCTATAAACACACATACTCTCAAATTCAAGCTCTGATTATTAGTATTTCTTTTATGAAGCACTGATTTTCTTTACAGTTGACTGTTACCAATAAAAAATTAAACTATAAGGTGAGGTTTTGCTAAAGATATTGTCAAAAGACATAAAACAAAACTATCATGTTTCTCCCTACTTTGTATTTCTTTATGAGGCCGGGAGAAACGCAGATAAAAAGGACCTCACGGATTTCCGAGTGGAGCAATGCCACCTTGTGGACAAATGCTAGTAGTACGGTTATGTTCTCATATCCAGTAACTGATTTCTTTGAAAAGATTGACCACTCTAAAGCAATGCTTATCCCCAAATATTAAGTAACAAGGTTTCATTATTTTATTTAAATGATAGCAGAAATTATCACTGTCCTCAAATACTCACACAGTCCGTTTGATAGCTACACTGTCACAGTTTTCTCCCATGGAGTGACTGGAGGGTTCAAACCGCCAACTTTAGGTTAGCAGTCACCACTGCACCACAATGGCCCCTCAGTTATTTACTGCATGATTACTATGCACCAAACACCACAACATGATCCCCAATTTAGAGGTGGCAGCGGAGGTGGAAGCGTGCCGTGGAGTCAGTTCAGACTCATAGTGATCCTGCACAGGTTTTTCCAAGCCTGTAAATCTTTATGGGCTCAGAAAGCCTCCTCTTTCTCCCGCGGAACCGCTGGTAGTTTTGAACTGCTGACTCTGAGGTTAGCAGCCTGTCTGGTAACCACTATACTCTACCAGAGCTCCTTCAATTTAGAGGAGAGGTATGGAATCAGAAGACACCCCTCTTTCTCCCAAGTGCACACTGCTGCAGGGGAAAACCCACAGCAGCACATAGGGTCAGCACACTGCTTTAGTCTCATGGTGACTACAAAGTGGTTTTCTTTCTTTTTTCTGCTTTTAAGATATGTACTTTTTGCTTTGAAATCTGAGACCTTAAAACAGAGGACCTCTGGTGATATCAGGGATGACTGTGGAATGTTTAACACACTCAGTTAACACTCTCAGCTGTTACACAAAGGTTGGAAGTTTTGAGTTCACTCAGAGGCGCCTCAAAAACAAAATTAAAAAAACCTGGGGAACTACTTTTGAAAATTAGTCACTGCAAAAAAACCCTATGGAGCACAGTTCTTCTCTGATACATTATGGGGTTGCTGGGAGTCAGAATTCACTCCACGGCAACTGCTTTTTAAAGACCAAATGCACAGTTTAAAGGGGGCATGGGAGAGAGAAATAAAAAGGGGAGAGGGCAATTAAACAGGTAGAAGAGCAAAAGAAAATAATAAAAGAGAAACTTGGTTCAAAGGAGAAGCACAGAAAAGGAACGATGTGCTGTCAAGAGACAGGTGCGCTTAAGGTTTGGTTTAGTATTACTGAGCTAGGATTCATGATGTACTCATTGTAGCTGTGCTATCGTGCAACTTACGACAACTTACTAGGGCAGTTTCCACTCTCAGCCAAATATTTTTAAATCAAAGTATAATGTGTAAAGTGCTGTAAAGTTTAAAAAAATTAAACCAATACAGCCATTTGAAATGGTACATGGGTGAAACATAAAACAGCTTCGTTTTCAAGCAGTTCATGTATCAAAATCACTGACTCACCCTGAATTTATACTGTGTGCTTCTTTTGAGATTTTTCACAGTACAGGTTAGATCCTCTCCAGTGTATTTTGGGTGGAAAAGGTTGTCCTGAAAAGGCAAAGCCAGAAAGAAAAATCAGTATTATCAAATCTGGGCATTAAATAGCTCTGTATATAAGGACTTTTAAACTGCCTCTTCCCACATAGCCAGTGCTCAGAGGTTGGGTAGCTACTATCACTAGTAAATATATATATATATAAAAAATCAGAAACCCACAGTGCTTTGGATGATACTAGAACTTCATATAAAACTTGAACTCTTTTCTCATTGGTATTTGTCTTGGGGCTAGTCAACTTTATTGTAGGCTTTGGGTATGGAGACTAATGCCAATTTACTTGAGAACAATGTTAAAAAGTGGAATTGCTTCAGAATTGATGTCACCAAGCACTTTCCTCCCAGAGAAAAACTTTCACAGATTGCCCAGTAAGCATTTCAAAGAAGTGTTTAACCACCAAGTAGTTACTATGTGACAGTGCAGTATGTGTTGTATTTAATAATGCTATCTTAAGAAAAAGTATCTCTGTGTTGAGGTCTAAACTGTCAGGCTGCACTGTGCTCTGCAATAAAGGGTGGCTGAGGTTTCTGACCACACGGTGCCCTCTTCTGGTCAAGGGAGAAAGGACAGGTTGGGCAGAGAAACGCATGCACTTTCAAGGGCATTATTAAAAGCTGAAAGTTGTATTCTCTTATAATCCATCCATTCATTCAATTACACATCAAAAATATCACTGAGAACCTTCTGTGTGCCAGACTCTCTTGCTGGCTCTCGAGTTCAGCACTGCCTAAGAAAATAGTCTTCCCCACAAGATGTGTATGTGCCAGTTGGAGAAAGCAATTAAAAAAACAAAAACAAAAACAAAACACCGACATAGATGTATATAAAAGATCATGTCACGTGAGGCTAAATGCTACAATGACAAATGAAAGCTGGATCAGAGGATCAAGTGCTGAGTGTAGTGAGGTGTTATTTTCTAGAGCTGCACAGTTAAACTGGGTACTTACAGATGGTTATTTAAATAAAAATCTCAGTCATATGACACACTGGTCATACATCAAGTTGTGTGCTAACACTCACACACCATGTGACTAAGGGATACCATACGGGACAGAACAAATCACAGAAAATTTCCATCATTGTAGCAAGTGCTCTTGGGTGCTCTTCTATAGGGAGGTCAGGGGAGGCTTCTCCAAGGAGGTGACATTTGCTAAGACACTTAAAGGAAAGAAGTGAGTCAAAAGCTCCCTGGGAGGAGGACATTCTTCAGAAGTCCGAAGGACTAACTACAAGGACCCAGAGGCCACAGCATGCCTGGTATGTGCAAGAAACTGCGGTGGGGTGAAGATGATGCAGAGAAAGGAACAAGGGCAGTATGGGAGAATCAGCTCACAGGGGACTTTTAGGCTTTATAAGAGCACTGGTTCTACTCTGAAGGCGACAGGAAGGCATGGAAGGGTCCTAAGCACATGAGTGACATGATCCTAACTGTACTGTAGCAGAATCACTCAGGCTTGGAGTGGAGAGTCCACTGCAGTGCATACAGACAGGGATAATATCTAGGAAATCACTACAACAACCTAGTGCAGCTCAGCAGTCCTGTAAAAGCCCAACAGCTGTGGACATGGTGAAAACGGCCAGATTTCTGGATATATTTTGAGGGAATACTGAAAATATTTTGCTGATTATATACATGGGATCAAACATGATGATAAGAGTTTCTGGCTTCTCCAGAATGGGATGCCACTTAGTCAGACTGGGAAGACTGTGGGAGCAGTGGGTTGTTGCTGTGGGTGGTAGCGGTAATGGTAGAAATGAAGAATTTGTTTTTGAATTTTTGTAGGCAATCTCATTTCATGATGCCCTGGAGCTATGACAACACTGACTTGTACCTAACGAAGGGATTACATCTGCAAAACTTACATTTTCTTCTTCCTGAATTTCCAAGGTGTAGGTAACCACTTCCTCGGGTGAACAACCTTCTGGTTTGTTCCACTGCAATGTGACCCATGTGACTCCAGCTCTGACAAGTCTTGGTGCAGAGGGCATCTGAGGAATGTTCCCTAATGTGTAGCATACTACTTCTTGGCTATAACCACTGAAGAGAAACAAAAATTGTGAGGTACACATTTATGAGCACTTGAAAGCTATTAGCAAGGGTTGTCACAGGGTCCTAACATGAGAAAGTATAATTCATATACTGATAGGGTCAGCAAACAAAGGAAAGCAAGAGTTCATTGGATGACCTCTTTACCACAACTTTCAATTTGCTTCATACCCACTCCATTCTATGCTACTAGAAAAGCACAGGGCAACATCTTCTCAAGAGCTTATTTCTCCCCCCAAACCATCCAGCAGAAAGCATAGCATAAAGAAATGTGGATCAAGCAATGGGTCATCATCACCAAGGAATCCTCAGATCCATGTGAGTACAAACCACTGTCTGTCGATGAAATACACATTTTATACAAAGTGCTACCTTTTTTCTTTCTTTTTTTTAAACTGTGGGTGCTTCCCATTACTTTAAAAAGTCTTGAGTCATAGAAGCCTTCTATCACTCTGGCTTTTTTTTTTTTTTTCAGCCAGTAGGCTCTAGACTCATAATGTTTATCATGGGTAAAGGTGGGAGATCTGCATAAACTTGTGATGTTAAAAGAAGTTCTTTAAGTTGAGAAAAAATATTGGGAATCACTGCTGTGCTCAGCAAGCAATGATGAAAGAAAACAATTTTTTCCTTAATCAAAAGTTACTTAGCAAGTGCACCTGGAACACAACCTTATCAAAGCATCTTTAATCAACAGACTCTTCACTGTCCACCAACTCTCTCGCCTTCTCCTGTAGCTGGAGGTGTGCAGGATTATCCTGGATGGTCTAGGTTGTCAATGATTCTGTACCTGTCCTGGGCTTGACAATCATGGCTGGCCCCACAGCCCATTCTCTGTATCAGGAAACACTTACAAATAATGGAAATGGGGTGACTTACTGAAGAGCTTGCTAAAGTGATGAAAGAAGGAAAAAGGCACATGATTTGAAGAAAGAATATCCCACGAGAGACTCCTTTCAAAAATCTGTCACCATCAACTTAAATTTTCTTGGTTCTCAAAGACCCTGGTGGGGCTTTCGCATTACAGTATGTAAAATGGGAAAGAGGACATACGCTGTTCCCCTCAGAAGGGGCCTTCCTGTCATCTGATTAGAATTCCCTCTTGGAAAATCTCACATTTGTTCATAAGAAGGCAGACAGTTTCCTCAAGTCTTTCAGCGAAGTGAGAGAAAGTTCAGAATCACAACACACATATTTAACACAGCAAGAGAACAAAGAAGCACTGTACCTGGTGCCGATGTCATTGCGAGCAGCCAGCCTGAACGTGTACCCCATGGCAGGACAAAGCTTTGTCAACTTGCAGTGTTTCTGGCTCCCAAAGAAGCACTGTCTGAAACCACTGTTTCTTTTTCCCTAAAACAAAAACAATGCAACAATGCATATAAGTGCTTCTTCACAAATTGTTGATGCTAAGAGTTACCCAGTCCGTTTCAACTTGTAGCCATGCTGTATAGGGTTTCCAAGGAGCAGCTGGCAGGTTTCAACCAGCAACCTTGTGGTTTAAGGCGACTTTACAGTCCAGTGCTTTAACCTACAGGGCCGTACCAGGACTACTCTTTATAAATAACCAAAAGAAAATGTTTTGAATAACTGTCTAACTTCCTAGTTTAGATGAACAACACAAACAGAATAAACAATGACAGCAAGGCTTTGAATCGATTCACTCATTGCTGACATGATGAAATCAGAACGGACTTGAATTTGTACAATGTGAGCGTACAATGTTCTGGAATGGCAACCAGAATGGGGAAATTATGGCTGGAATGGCAGACTCAGAACAGGCACAGGGCAGCACTTCAAGACGCCTGATGCAAGAGACACTGGATTCTTGCTAGGACTGTGGAGAGAGACATGCATGCAAAACAATGTGGTTGGCTGTCATCTTTGAGCTGGCCACTACTGTTTCCAACTCTGCCAGTCAAGAGATCTGGTTGTTATGCAACATGTATGTTGACCATGTTTTCTGGGAGGGAGTTTAAATTTCTGGTACAGTTGTTAAATGCCGTTGAGTCAGTTCTGACTCCTATCGACCCTGTATAGGGTTTTCAACAAGCAGCTGGTGGGTTTGAACCACTATCTTACAGCTAGCAGTCCAGTGCTTACCCTACAGTGCCACATTAGCACGCCAGCATGTTGACTTATCAATTTTCCCCTTCTGGTTATCATTCTGATATACCCACATTTTACAAATTCAGGTTCAATCTGCTTTTGCTTCTTTGGCCATGACAGAACCGGGGAGTACCAGTTTGAAGACTTGGTTTATAAGGAAGTGCTCATATTTACATTTGAAAGACTTTATAGTGAGATCTCATCCTTAACATACAGGTGTTACTAGAAGATTCTGTAACCGATAAAAATACTTCAGTTCACTTACAGTATTTATTTCTAAAATGGCTTTTGGTCTTTCAGGCAGTTTAAGGCTCACAATTCAAAGCCCTTTTCACAAGACCCAATATCTTTCACTGTTGTTAGTACTAACTGTTCAATCTGTATAGGGCTTCCAAGTACATATGTGCCAGAGAAGATAGAACAGTTCTGACACTGTGCTGCCATCCTTCCCAGTTACTCTACTTGAGTGCCTGTGGGATTAGTCGAGGCAGCCTACTGTACCACACATAGCCCTCTCCAGCCTTCTTCCCACCATACAACATTCCCTAAGTTGCTCACTTGTCTATTTCAGCAATGGTGACCTGTGTGTTCACTGATTCCTAAATAGTGATTGCAAACATTTCCATCTTTTGATCTACTTCTGGTTTTCCCGTAACATCTGGGAGTTCAGTATATCCCTGCAGAGCTGAACTGAATGTCTAACAAGCACTTAGAACTTAGGTTGAATTCATCTATGCATATTAATGCCATGCTAAGTTTCTTAAAAAACTGAAAATATATTCTTAATGCCTTCCTAGGTCTTGCATGATACCTCTAACTCCGTGAAGTAAAAATAAAACACTCCAATGGGTTCTCTTTAGAGACCCTATGAGAAAGGAAACAAGTAAAACAAAACAAGAAAAAAAATCATAAGCCATGTTCCAAGATATAAATACTCCCATCAACAGTTTTCTATAACAAACACTTCTCACTTACAATCCACATTACTTTATTTATGGCCAATGGAGAAGAAAGCCACATGTTAACCATTCAATTAATCTTAGCATTCTAACTAGACTTTCAAATCCAGGGCCTTCAGGATTATGTTTTAAATTCTAGTTTTATTTTTAAAAGAATGAGTAAGCACATTTTCCCCAACAAAATTTAAGCACTTCCTTCCTTTAAGCAGTCTTCCAAATGCTTACAACTAAAGCACATTCCAGGTGAACTCTAATTAAAAATAACATAAACATCCAACTAGCTTGAAATGTCACTAAGGTGAACAGATGAAAAACTACCATGCCACATATTTCCGCACACGATTCCTTTTCTCCCTCCTCCATGACTTCACTGAGCAAAGTGGTACCCTTCCCAATGAAAGGAAGTGGAAGTCCTAATATTCAAGGTTCATTCAGGTACAACTATGAAAAAAAGTCAGTGAAGCATAACATCCTTCAGCTGCAACTTGGATGAAGTCACTACGGCACTGGCATATCATGGCCTTATGTTTATTTAACCTTGAGTGGTAAGCTTGATGAGGCTGATTTATTCAGAGAAAAACCATTTATGCACATATTTGCATAATTACATTCAGTGTCTGATTATACTCTATGCCGCTTTGGTATGTTTTGTATCCATTTCAGGCTGCAGCAAGATCTACCTTCTTTCCTCCTCTATTTTTGAACTCAAGAGTAAACAGTACAAGAAAGGTACATCCTGCTGCCACGGAAACTCTCATCCCTTCCAATCCCGACGCTGGCTCCCCTCCAATGCCTCATTTTTCCTATTTCTTTGTTTGGTCTCCTTTGCCCATTTCTGGTGCACAGAACTACAGCCAATAAATAAAAGTCTGTCTGTTTCTTACTAGGTTGATTTGCTTTAATATGGTGAAAAACCAGACTGTCTGTGACTTAAACAAGAGAGTGGGAACCAGACTTTTGTGTCCTTCAAGGTATTTTCCCATACTGTTAACATAAGAATTTTTTTAAAAAATTGTACTTCAGTATCAGAGCCAATTCCTAAGCATATCAAATGTTCTTAGGCAAAACATAGCAAGTTTTCCATTTTGCCACCTTACAAAACATACTACTATGCACAGGGACACAAAGACACACAGAAAAGATCCACAGCTGCTGGAACCTTAGAATCAAGTTTTAGAAATAATGCCTATAGAGTTGGAGGCGGTGAGAGAATAGATACTTCTCACAGTTAAAGTATTTGGGGTTGTTGCATATTTTAAGAAGTCATGGAGAATAAAGCAAAAACACGCAGGGGAAAGAAAATTGACTATTTTAAAACAATGTGAGAAACTTTTGAATAGAGGAAAATATTTGTGTTTGACATGGCATTTAATGTAAAAGAGACATTGGAAAAGAAAAAGAATTAATATCCAGGAAGTCACTGTAGTGCAGAAGTAATCTATGGTAGAGATAGGTTAGTAAGTGGCAACAAAAAATGCCATTGGCTCCAGTGAGCTCCACACACACAACACCCTATTCTTACACAGACAGACCTGCCATACTCTCAGATGACTCTGGGGTTTCAACATTGGAATTAAGTACATATTCAAAGATATGGAGTGATTTAGAAAAAAATCTGCTTATACATCAAGAGAGATCCTAGTTTACAAACAACATTTACAAATATCCAGTTTCTCCTGTTGACAGGAATGAATCAGGTGAGAACAAAACAAAGGCAATGCTTTAGAAGATCAAAAAATTCGTACAAACCAACAAGAATGATAATGTGAATGTTTATCATAAAGTGTGGTATTATAGCATAAGCATAGGACAGCTGACTGCAAGGTTGGTAGTTCAAACTTGACAGCCACTCCTCGGAAACCCTATCCAGGGCCACCAAGAGTTGGAACTGGCTTGATAGCACTTAGCACTACCATCAGTAAGGTTAAAGACTGATAAACCACAACTTTCAGATTCTGTAGGCAGCATGGCTCCAAATGACTTTGAGAGATTGTAATCTGGGGCAGCGTCTTCTAATAAAAACTAATTTAAACTACACAAGAGTATTGTTAAGTGCCATCAACTCACTTCTGACTCACAGTAATCCTATATAGGGTTTCTGAAGCGTGAGTTTGAACTGTCGACCTTGTGGTTCAAACTGCCCTTGTGGTCGAGTGCTTATCCTAAAATGCCACCGATGTATATAGTTTGTTTAGAAAGGAAAGTTACTCTAAAATAATAAAAAGTCAACCTTGTGAAAAGTCTCCTACCAAAACAAGGCCACAGTGGACATGAGTACTCTGTGGGCCAATTTTCATTAATGTGGGGCCACAGCCAGCAGAAAACACCCATGGCCAAGCCTAATCCTAGTCAGCGTTGCTAAGCCACCTATGACGAGTAAGAGCTGAGGGGCTCGGAGCACTTAGGAGGTGACTGGTCCTCAGAGAAGAGCTGGGGCATGGATTTCTGGCAGCTCCCTCCTCCTCTTTATAATGACATACTAGAGATAACAGTATAAGAGTAACCACGATCAAAACCTCTGAAAATGCCAAAAAATACTTGCATTACTGCTCTTGGTGGGGAAGGAAAACTTCATCCCAACCAGAGAAGAAGGAAGAAGAGGCTCAAAGCTCACATTCTTGAACATTCTGGATCTGACCGAGTCACTGGACTACTGACCTCATTTGACATGAACTGACATAACCCCCAGTTGTGTTCTGACCTGACTTCCTGCTGCTAGTTTCCAAGAGCTAAAAAAGGGCAGATTTTCAGGGCTCACTAGCTTGTTTCCATTTGATAATCCTGGGCATGTCCAAATGCTTGCTTCTATAGCACACCATGAGTTCATTCAGGGACAAGGTTAATCTTTACTAGAATGTGAGGAAATCTTGGGAGGACACACCCAACTTTGTGGAGATAAACCTCCAGGTATTCAGTTTGGTGTGGGATAACACATTACAAACCTGAGTGCTCCTCTTCACTGGACTGAGTTCACATTCTTGGAAATGCATCATCATCCCACACCCAGACCCAACCTGAAAGCACCAATGCAGAACACTGAGTTTGAGAGAAACAGAATTGTTTTCTGCCTAAGGTCAAAGGTGCTTGTCCTGCACTTTGGTAAAAACTGCTTTCCAGGAAAGCTCTCAAATTGCCAGCAAGTTGGCTTGAGTTCATGGCATCTATCAGATTAATTTTATCCGGTTCAGAGCTCCCCTGCTTTGCTTCTGTCCCACTTCTTCCCATTGAACAAAAACACACTGAATTATTATCTACACCCTACACTGTGCTTGTTCTTAAGACCTT